ACAATCGGACTCTGCTTTGAGGACCTCGTGTGCCTCCCCTCCAGGAGCCGCACGGAGGCGCTGCTCGAAAAGTTAGAATCGAACTTCTTAAGGCAGCCCGTATGGAGGCCTTCCTTTTCAAAGTGCATCCAGAATACTTGCCACACTGCTTACATGCAACAATGAATATGTCGTCTTCTAAACGATTGAGAACCAGGAGTATGTGTCCGTTGGGCTCGAGCGCTAGCTTGGCCAAGGCAGCAGCATTCCCAGGGCAGCGCTCCTTGGCACGATCATTCTCAGCCTTGTCATTCAGGCATCGCGAGTGGCAGAGGCAGCAGAGGCAACGGGCTTTCTACCAAGTCCACACGTGCTCGACGCGAGCCCGCGCTTCCCGAGGAGGACGGGGGGGGGCCGCAGCGGCCCCTGGGCCAGCGCCAGAATCCCCTGGGTGAGCTCCACCCTGCCACACTTCCGCGATCGAGCTGGCTCTAATCGCTGGGTTGGTGGCCTGGGCAGGGGCTTCCAAGCCTCTCCCGCCGGCCCTCGGTGCGATGGCGGGCCGCAGAGTGGTGACGGGGGGTGACTCAGCTGGGGGGTGAAGAGCAGGGCCCCGAAGTGGCCCTTTCCAGGGTGGACAGACCTCCTACCCTGACACGTCGATTAAGGAATCGGCCGTTGTCGGCTCGCGAGAGGGCGTCGCGGCCGTCATTTTTGCGCGCCCAGGTCCGTCGGTTTCGGTCCCAGGCCGATTTCACGAAGGGGAGATGTACTAAAGGGAGGCTTGTCCATGGGGGGGACGAGCAGGGCCCCAAAGTGGCCCTGTCTAGGGCCCCTTTCGGAGCCAGCGGGGGCCCTGAAGGGCCCTTGTATAGGGCCCTGTTCTTCGCCCCCCCCCCCCCCCTTAGGTCACCCCCCATCGCCACCCACCCGACACTGGGGTCCCCCGACCGATGGCCATCCCCCGATCGCTCGACATCCATCGATCCGGGGACCCCAGTCTTGATTTCTTCTGGTTCCACCCGCCTGCCCAGAGCAGCCTTCTCATCTCCTGGAGCCGCTCTGCGCACTGCTTTGCCCGAGGGCCCCTTGGGTCGCCCCCCGGTCAATGAACGGCGTCAACGACAGCAGCGGCTTGCACGCTCGTCTAGGCCTCCTAGATGGGGTCGGAGTAGGATGGGGTCGGAGTAGATGCGGTCGGAGGATCGCGCCGCATCGGCGATGCCGCTCGATGTGGGGCCCGATCTCCTCCACGCCGACGTGGCCGATGCGTCGCCGACGTCGCCATTGCATGGCCGATGCATCGCCGATGCATCGGCGATGCATCGCCGATATATCGGCGATGTGGCGAGATCCTCCGACCTCATCTACTCGGACCTCATCTAGGAGGCATCTAGCTCGGGGTTGGCACTCTTGCACATCTCTTGCGTGTAGCCCCGGACGCCACGCACCAGAGGCCACGCTAGCACAGGGTCACTCTTGCGCGTAGACGAAAAATTGGCGTCAACACTGACGCCCTGGATCACACAGATGTTGACGTCGACCTTTTCGGATCTGGGGTCTCAGGCGTCGTCGGCCGTGTGGCGTGGGCCCCGACTTCGTGGCCGTCCGGTGCGCGCGCGAGGAGCGCCCCGCCCGTAACTACGGCGTTCCCTGGGCTTCGGGTCTGCCCCGGTGTGGCCCGCGCCCTCCCTCCAGCTCTGAAGGTGGCTCGGGTCACGGTCCGCGGCTGTGTTTTCGTGCTGGCCCGAAGTAGTCGCACCGCTGTCTCTATCGTGTCGTCTTCTGCCGACGCCACGTCGTCTCAAGCCAGTGTTCAGTCGGGCCTGTCTACAGGAGGAGTGTTTAGAAATAGTTTCAAAAAATAGTTTGGGGACGATCTTTTTAATATTGTTTGGCCATTGTCGGGCATTTGTTGCCCCCGAAATCCGCCTGTAAGAAGTACAGGCCCGACTTAAAGCCAGTTCCCAAGGGGTCGGCGAGCTGAGCGGGGGAGGAGGGGGGAGCAGGAGGGGGAGGCGGAGGAGACAGGTCAGTTCTTGGGGAGGTCAGGGGAATAGGGAATGAGGGAGGGGGAATCTTTGAGGGAGGGAGGGGGGAGGCAGAGAGGAGGACGAGGAGGAGGAGGAGGAGGAGGAGGAGGAGGAGGAGGAGGAGGAGGAGGGGGAGGAGGAGGAGGGGGAGGGGGAGGTGGAGGAGTGGGAACAGAGAAAGAGGCGAGAGGACAGGAGGAGGAGGGGAGGAGGAGGAGTACACCTTAGGACAACAGAGTGAGAGTGGGAAGTAGGAGGAGAGGAGGAGTGATGCAGATTATGCGGAGCAGTAGAAGGAGCAGCAGGAGAAGAAGGAGGGACGAGGCGGAGGAGGGACGAGGGCTGACGAGGGAGGGGCCTGGAGGCAGAGGCGCGCGCGCTTCGCGTGCACGCCGGTGCCCTCGCCGCCCTCCCCCCCCCGCGGCCGGCTGCGGCGCGAGGCGGCTGGTGGGCGCCAGAGACCCTCTCCGCTGGCGCTCAGCACGCAGGCGGCGGGCTGGGCCCGAGGGGTGGGGGTCCGGCGGTCTGATTCCTCCCTGAAATCACCCTGGCTCCGGATCCAACAGCCCTGGCTCCCTTCTCCTCCTCCTCCTCCTCCTCCTCCTCCCTCCTCCTCCTCCTCCTCCTCCTCCTCCTCTCCTCCTCCTCCTCCTCGCTACTCCGCACCGTCGTCCCCTCCTCCTCCTCCTCCTCTCCTCGTCCTCACTCCGCCACCATCCGTCCGTTTCCTCCTCCTCCTCCTCCTCCTCCATCCTCCTCCTCCTCCTCCTCTCCTCCTCCATCCTCCTCCTCCTCCTCCTCCTCCTCCTCCCCTTCTTGAAGAGGACGCAGGGGGCAGAGGGACGCGCTGGGTGGGAGTTCGGTTCCTCTCGTGGGGACGAGGTGGGAGAGATGTGGGGATGCGTGCAGGGTGGGGATTCGAGTTCCCTCGAGGAGGGAGGGGGGTTGGAACTGCATCTTGGCGGTCCCTCCCCGATCCCTGATCCGCCGTGCTTTGGACGATTTCTCAAGTCGGGCGGAAATTTCCGCCCCACTGTGCAAGCCTCTCTGATGTCGATTTCCGCCCCGCTTTGCTGTCGCTGTTTCCGCCATGCGTTTGCGGAAATGTCCGCCTTAGCTTTTCGAGGTAGACGTTGCCGCCCTACTTATTTGCATCGTATGGGTCCCATTCCAGGCAGATTTGCAAGTCGGAAAATCAACCAGATACGCCGAGGAAGTCAGGGCAGGGCGCTGCAATTGTCTCACGCCGGGCGTGTTCGCGCCGTTTTGGGCCTCGGGGCCATCACAGATCGATCCGGCTTGAGAGATGCAGCATCAAGATTGGGTCTGGGGCTCCGGTCGAGTCTCCCTGCGATGGCGCATCGTGTTGGTAGCGTCGGATCTCAGGGTCCGCAGAAGTCGAGGTGACTTTCGGGTGATTTCGCCCCAGACCTCCTTGGGTCATGAAAATGTTCACCGGCTTGGACCCCAAACCGTGATGTCTTGCAGTCTGTGCAATGCAATCTAGGTAGTGCAATCAGTGTCGAGCAATCTAGGATGTGCAATCCATGGGAAAGCGAAGAAACGTAACACTATGCAGCGCAATGCAACGCTATGCAACACGATGCAGCGCAAATCGATGCAAAGCAATGTTATGTGATGCAAAGCAATGCAAACACATGCAAAGCAGCACAAACCAACACAAGCAATGCGAAGCAGTGCGAAGCAATATCACGCGATGCAATGCAGTCCACCGCAGTGCGATTGCAACGCCATGCGATGCGGGGCAATGGCAATGCGACGCAAGGCGACTGCAACGCAAGGCGCTCGCCATGCGACGGTGGAGGTGCTGGGTGGCAAGGGGCGGTGGCGACGGGCGGCAGCGGCCGAGAAGGGGCGGTAGCGGACGAGAACGAGGCCGCTAGGCCCGCAGACAGGCCCAGTCTTAGGTCGGGCCTGTCCCCCTGCAGGTGGATTTTTGGACGAGAAGTAAGAAATTCGCAAACATATTCAAAAGATGCCCAAGAATAGAGAAAAAATAGTCCCCTGATCATTTGTTCCTCTATTTTTGAACATTCCCCCTGTAGAGGGACAGGCCCGACTTGAGCCCAGTTCCTTAGAAGAGAGGCGAGCATCCCTAGGTGAAAGTGCTGTGCTTGGGACACGAACACGATGGGAGGGTCCTGCTGTTTTCGGCCTCTTGGGGCCCTCGCCGGGCCTCGCAGGACAGTCAAAGAACGATTCTGCTGCACAGCCGGTCCCGGGGAAGGGGTCGAGGCCCCAGGGGGCCGGCGACCCAGACCCCCTCGAGCAATGAAAAAATCACGACGGGAGGTTTGTCCTGGTTTTCGGCCTCCGGGGGCCCTCACCGGGCCTCGGGAGCGTCAAAAAACGACTCAGGATGCAAAGCCGGTCATGGGGAAAGGGTCGGGACCTCTGGGGGTCGACGTAATGAAAAAATCATGACGTCGGGGGCCGGCGACAATGTGAACGAAGTCGTGGCGCCAGGGGTCTGAGGACGGGACCCTTTGCCGCGTGACCTTTCTGGTACGCGGCCCACGTCTTTTTATGTTCTCGTCGATTCTTCGAGGTTTCCTTGTCTCGGGATGCGCTCTAGCAGCTGCTTCTCGCGGCTGGAAATCAGGATACGCACTTTTATACACACAACGGCCGGGGGCCGAGGGCTGGAACCTCGACCACACATGTGGGGACCAGGGCCCGGGCCCGCCTCTGGGAGGCCTAAAATCGTCCCCGGGAGCCCTCAGACAGCAATCCCCCCAGACGGTCTCGAGACACCCCCAAGACGGCGTCCAGGGGTCTCTGGCGACGCACGATGCGTTTTAAACTGCCCCAGAGACCCCCAAGACGCCCCACAAGGCCTTTCAGATGCCGCCCAAGAGCGCCCCGAGAGGGCAAAATCGTTGATTGTTGTTTTGCGTTCTCGCTGTTTTGTATTTCCGGCGCTAAAGCACCGCCCAAGAGGCTCCCAAAACCGCTCCAAGACGGCCCAAGAGACCCCCAAGAGGGCCCCAAGACGGCCCAAGAGAGCCCCGAGACGGCCCAAGAGAGCCCAAGATGGCGCAAGAGGGTCCCAAGAAGGCCCCAAGAAGGGCCCAAGAGAGGGAACGCGAACTGAAAAATCAAGCTCTCCGCCCCAAGATGCCCCTAAGATGCTCCCAGGAAGCCCCCAAGAGGCCTCAAGAGGCCCCCAAGAGGCCCCAAGAGGCCCCCAAGAAGCCCCAAAGAGGCTCCAAGAGGCCCCACGACGGCGCCCAAACGGCTTCAAAACTATTTCTAAGAGGCCCCCGACGACATGCCAAGAAGGTCCCATGACGCCTTCAAGAAGCAGTCCAGGATGCTCCGAGGAGGCCCCAGGAAATTCGCTAGAACTTGAGCGCGCGCGAAGCGCGCGCAATGGTTCTAGTAGAATTTATGAGTTTCTCGCTGAGTCGCCGTGCACACGATATCTACCAGCATCTTGTTTCCATGACTATAGACGATGTTAGAAAGTATTGTGTTCCCGATGAGGCCCCGTGATGACTATATATATATATATATATATATATATATGTGTGTGTGTGCATGTATGCATGTATATATGCATGCATTTATGTATGTTTATATGTATGTATGCACGTATGTATATATGTATGCATGTATGCATGCATGCATGCAGGTATGTATGTATGTGTGTATGTAAGTAAGTAAGTAAGTAAGTAAATAAATACGTAAGTATGTATGTATGTATGTATGTATGTATGTATGTATGTATGTATGTATGTATGTCTACATGTTTGTATGTATGCATGTATGCATGTATGCATGCATGTATGCATGTGTGTGTATGTATGTACGTATGTATGTATGTATGTATGTATGTATGTATGTATGTATGTATGGATGGATGGATGGATGTATGGATGTATGCATTGTGCTTGCACATTAATGATATCCTGCTGCATTCAGTGCCGTATGTCGCTACTTATGCTCAAGTTTTTTCCCGGAGAGGATTTCCCTGATGGGGGCTCAGTCCGCCCTCATCGAGACCTTCCAGTCCGCAGGGATCCGCGCTCTCGAGCTGCTGGCGCTGCGCCAGTCCCTGCTCTCGGCGGTGCCCCAGTGCCCCGCTGTCTCGCTGGCGTGCCCGCCCGCGAACGTCACCTGCCCCGTCCAGGTCTGCCCAGCGCTGGCCTGCCCCACGCCAGCGTGCCCCGTGCCGCTGGTGAACCTCTCCTGCCCGCCTGCAGGAGTGGCGCTCGGGCCCGACGGGCTTGACGTGCCCTCGGCCTGCTGGGGCTACGTGGCGGGAGTCTCCGCGGGGCTCGGGCTGGGCGGTGCCGTCTGGAGGCGGGGCGGTCGCGCCGACGCCGAGTCGACGGGAGTGGGAGATCGAGCGCGGGAGCAGCTGCAGCTGATCAGGAGGCGCAATGGCGAGAATAGGTGACTACGTTCTCTTCCAGTACGACCTGCCTGGACCGCCGGTGTATCATGAGAGGCTCGTGACGGGGGTCTCGATAGGGGATCCAGGTCTCATCAGCACGTACTCGCCAGATGGGGACCACTATGCAGAGTATACGACGTCGGACGACCTCAGAGATGTGCGGTGGTCGGGGGCGCAGGGCGCGACCCCGCCCGGTGTCAACCCGGCCCACGTCTACCGCTTCCGCCAGGTGCCGACGGCGGCGGAGGTCCAGCAGCTGATCCGCGAGGGCTCGCTCCTCGTCGGGGGGGTGGCGCCGCTTGCCGCCGCTGCCCCCGCCGCCGCAGCGGCGCCCGCGGCGGGTCCTCCCGCGGCGGCCGCACCCCAGGGGGCCATCGTGCCTCGCGGCGCTGGCGTGGTGGGAGGAGTCCCGCGCGCTGGAGCCGCGGCCGCTCCCGCAGCGGCTGGCACGGTGTGGCTGGCGATCGAGGACTACCAGGGGATGCGGCGCGGCGAGCAGATGCCTGACCCGCTCCCGCAGGGCGCCGTCGTTCACGGGGATCTGGCGCTGGTGCCTCATGCAGGGGGTTTCGTCGGAGCGCGCCAGGTGGCCATGGCCGACGTGGACGCTTTCGTCGTGGACGACCTGCGCGTGCTGCCCGTGCGTTTCAACCAGCAGGGGGCGCGCCGCCGCCCATACAGCGAGGCCGTCGACATGCAGATCGTGGACGAGCCCGAGGGCGGCATCATGCTGCAGGGGCCGCGTACTACGGATTGGGTGCTGAGGTCGTATCGTGATGCCGGCCTCACGCCAGTCACTCATCATTCGAACTGGCTGAGGTCGGCGCGCATCCCTGATGGAGATCGCTCGGCTCACGAACACGAGGTGCTCTGCCACGTGCTGGAGGCGATGGTGACAGTGGATCAGCTCAATGCCCCAGCGCTCCAGAGCGCTGAGCTCGTCGTGCGCAGGATTCAGGTCATAGAAGATGCTCACTCGGCCTCTCCCTCGAACCCGGACTACTCCGCGGCCGACGAGTTCATGGGCTGGGCCACTCACCGCCAGGGCGCCGCAGTCGCGCCCGACCT